GCGAGGATTCTTGAATCTCTTGGTTGAGCTGGCAGGTCCCAAACGAGGATTCCTTAAATCCCTTGGTTGAACTGTTTATTGTTGCTTCCGCTCTATCACATAGTCTAAAGATCCATGACCCAAAATTCATAACCATGATTCGAACGGATCTAGAAATCACAAACTGAAAACCATCTGAATATCAAAGCGTAAGAAGAGGTGCCGAAACGAGTAGGTGACATTAGCCGCAACCACGTTGTTGCTAGTCGGCATCACCACCATCCTGGTAAACCTTGAACCCCAATAGATCGGATATAAAAAATGATAAAATTTCAATATAACCTTGCAAAAAAAAACCAAATCAAAAGACAGGAACTAAAAGAGAACACCTCGGACCGGCTTCGCTGCTACTATCAGAGCCACCACACGCCGGTTCGAGTTTGAAAAACCAAATTTGAAAACTTTGCGGCAATAAGGGTTTCGAGACGTCCTTTGATTTATATTCCACTAGATTTTGACCCACGACAAGCGTGAGATTAAATAATTAAATATATTTTTTAATCGAATTTAATATTTATACATGTATTCTAATATTTATAAATGTACAAAAATAATATGTATTGTGCATAAATGTAATAAAGTTAAATTTTGATCAAACATAATATATTTTTTATTTGTTATTTTTAATTTCTCTCATCTATTAAAAAAAATCCTGAATTTTTGTTTTTGAATAATCTAATCATGCGTTTGACTCGGATCAAAATATCTAGTAGTTATTGAAAAGAAAATAAGATATTTTTAAATATTTTTTATATTCTTTAAATAAAATTTTGTATATTAGTACCACATATTCGTTATTTCCATATATTTGTCATTAAAATTTTTTAATAATTTTTATTAGAAAAGTAGTTCTTTAAAACTATCTTTAGATGAAACATATGATTTTTCACATAATATCTTTTCTATTAATATATAGTGAATTATTACAAGAATCAAATGGGAGTAAAATTCTAATATGAGTAATTGTCTCCGTACAAGAAAAACTCCCTAACTTAACTTAAAGAAGCAAGTGGTTGTGGAAAAAAAAAAAATTACGACCAAAAGTTTTTGTTGCTAACTTAGAACTTAGGGTAATTGACATGAATAACAAAAAAAACAAATTTAATCTACAATCCTAACCAAATAACCTAAATCTTTGGCTATAAGTTAGCCACATGAGGCAA